CACCGGATTGAAATTAAAGGAACTTTGTAAAAAATTTCGATTGATTTTGGAATCCTAAAATTGATTTGTTTTTTATTATTAAACAACTGCATTTTTAAACATTTCCTAAAGTCACTTTTCAGTGTTGGATTTCCCTAAAAACTACAATTTTCTAGTTATTAATTTAAGTTGGGTTTTTCTTATATTTTGTTGTTGTTGGCTGTCTCTCTTTTGGCCCAAAACACGTTGCAATTGGCAACTGGTTTACAGCTATGCAACGGCAAACACACTCGCAACACACACAGAAAGAGAGGAGAACACTCACAGATACACACACACACATTCACAGACCTAGCTAGACACTAATACACTGGCAAAAGGACGCTGCAGGTGTGTAAATGCCAATTTTAGTATGGCCTTTACTTTATTTCTTTAGAAATATATTTCCATTGAATTTTTGCGATTTTATTTTCATATAATTTCCATTATATTATGGGGTATTTTCAATATTCGTTGTATACCTTTTATATACTCATTCTCTTGGTGTTTTTTTGTCGCTTTTCTTTTTAGGGGCCACTTTTGTGCACTTTTTTCACACACAGAAACACGAAACAGAAAATACCATTAACGATATGATGTTGCTGTTGTCTTGAGCACTGAAAAACCGTTCGTTACGCTTTGGCAGACATTACGAGCCACGCTCCGCATCCGCGACGTCCCCCCACTCGGCACCCTACCACCAGCAATCCCCCGACAAGATGATGGCTCTATTGTTGCTGCTGCCCGTAACCGGAGAGCGGACTCGTCTATCTTTGGCAACGCGTTTGTCGTATCTGCGACAAAGCGGCCAAAACTCAGCTTCAGGCCCCGAGAGGCTGGCCCCGCCGCACAACGTAGAGCGACGCCAACAAAGGGGGAGAGAGAGAGAGAAATCAAGAGAGAGTGATCGTTGGCTGGGCACAGATTTAACCATACGATCTACCTGAGTGCAAGGTATTTCAATTCAAGGTGAGGTATTCGCAGAGAATGCTCCTACGATAGGACGAAAGAGTGTGAGTGTGAGTCTCTGGGAATTACCTACCTTCTATGAATTGCTACCTTGCTACGGTATACCTGTGATCATAGCCGGCAGAGGTGCGATCAAACGGCTATACCGTAAGCTATGTGAATGTCGTAAGGGATTGGAGATTTCATAATGAGATGCAGGTTATTCTAAGTGTAGCAGCCACACGACGAGTTTCATGATATAAGCCGATAGTCTACCGAATATCGTACGGGGTTTTAGACTCAAATATATTTTGTTAATATTAATAATATTAATATTAGCAATGGCGATAGTTAAGGGGGTAAAGCCACCTCTGAAAACAGAAGGAATTTGCTTAATCCAAATATGGATATAAACCCATAATGCGCAGCAAGTGTTTGATTAACCATTAAGTGGCATAATTGAATTTACATTATCTTTTATTTAATATTTACATTCAGTGCTTGCTCTTTTTCTTTTTCGCTTTGGGCTTTGATCTGTCGCTGCTCTTCTTTGACTTTGACTTTTTCTTCGATTTCTTGTCGGATTTCTTAGACTTTTTCGAGCTAGAACTGCGGTGGGAGCTCTTTTTCGATTTGCTGATTTTAGATCTCTTGGCCTTGACAGGGGAGGAGGCGGAGCAGGAACTGGATGTGTCACTAGAACTATCGCTATCACTATCGTCCGAGGAGAGAGCCTTCTTCTCCACCCACTTCTCGGCCGAGCGCTTCTTAGGGGCGTGCTTCTGCCAGAGGTGCTGAAGCTTCGCCTCGATGCCAACTTCAGCATGGTCGGTCTCCTGTGCTTGAGTCCTTGCGGGCGCCCCTGTTTCCGGCAGCTTGGGCCCATAGATATCCTCGACTGGCACTTGAGCCATGGCCAGCTCCTTGTCGTTCCTCAGCCGCTCCTCGCGCGACTTGTAGGCAATCTTCAGCTTGTTACCCTCGATGGGCGCGAACTTTGGAGGCGCCGCTGCCTCCTTTGGTGTCTGCTCCTCCATCGGCTTGAAGAGCGCCGCAAAGATCCCGCGCGGCGGTGAAGTATTTCTCAGCACATTCAAAGATGCCGCAGAGGCGGCCGAAGTGGAAGGCAGACCCAAAGCTTCATTAATTGCAGCCAGTTTTTCTTGCGGAGTGGACAATGATACTATAGGAGGAGGGGCCACCGGCACAGTCTCCTCATCGTCGCTATCCTCGAAGATGCTCCTAAACAGATCCTTCTTCTCCGATATGGGTTTCTCGCGGGACTCGTCCACAGCCTGCTCCAAGGGAGTTCTCGGCACAAAACTTGGCTTGACTGTTGTGGGCTCCTCGCCCTTTTTCTGGGCAGGTTTCTCTTTATCTGGCTCTGGCGCCACAGGAGCTGGAGGAGCTAGTGGAGCCAAAGGAGTCGGAGCAACTACAGCTGGCTTGGGCTTTTCCATGTGCTTGGGTCTGATCGTTGGAGTCTGAAAATCGGCCTTGCTATTAATGGAAGTCTCCAGATAGTCGAATATTGATATCTTGGGCCTTCCTTTGAGCTCCTTTGGCGGCTCCAGCATGGACCCACCGAATGGTTCGGCTATGTTGTAACGCTTGCAGAGCAGCGCAGCGGGTTTCCACATGGCCTTAGTACGCTCCATGACCACCTTTCGCTCCTCGGGTGGCTTCTGCTGCTCCTTGACCTGCTCCGCCTGCACGGTTGCCTCTGACACGAACCTGTCGTACATGAGTCCGTTCAGGGGTCGATAAATCTTGGCTGCCTGGATGAATTCCTTTTTCTCCATCTCTCGATCCCACAGGGAAAGCGTCACCGGCTGCATGTTGGCCAGGAACTCTGTTATCTCCGCATCTGTCTTGAGTTGTGCGTCCAAAAATTTATCGTAGCGCAGCTGCTTGGCCTCGTCCGCCAGAAAGGGCTTGAAGCCGCCTGTGGGAGTCGCGGAGGCTGCAATGGAGAGGTCAGTAGAGGCAATGCCAGTGCGTATTTACTTACCTAAATCCTTGGTCTTGAGGACGGCCTTCTCCTGGATCGTTGCATTTGCTTCCTTCACCTGCTTGGCCATCGCTGTGGCAGTCGTCTCTGTCGCTACTTTGGGCAGCGCCTCTTCGCTTATCAGTCCACCCTTGGTGAAGCCTTCAGACTTGGCGCTTATTAGCTCCAGCAGTTTGCTGCGTTCCTTGAATGGATTGCGGCTGGGCGGCTGCTGTTGCTGCTGATCTTCTTTCTGGCTCTTTTTCTCCCCCAGCAGCTGGGCCCGCTGATCCGGATTGAGGTCGTGCCTGCCTAGGCCTGTCCTTTTGTATTCATTCCTCGCTTCCAGCTTTTTGGTCCGTTCGCTGTCCATGGGCTCAAAACGAGTGCGGCGCTGCAGCCAGTTCCTGGGCTTAAAGTCTCTTGGCAGATCTATGGCGTAGGGTTTCTGCAGGGCTGCGCCGGACTTGTCCTCGCTGAAGCCATCGATGACGTGGCGCTGCTGCACGTGCTGGAGCTTCTTCTGCTTGGGCTTCTTGTCGGCCAGGGAGAAATCGTAGCGGGTCAAGTCGTCGCGGGCATATATGTCGTCGTCCTCTTCCTCAAAGGCGCCTACTCCAAATGCCTGGCCTCTTATGGACAGCTGCTTCTGCTTGGGCTGCGTCTCCAGCTGCCCAAACAGATTGATGTGCTGCATGGGAGCTGCTGGATGGGCCGAGGACTTGGACAGAATGGGGTCCCGGCTGAGGCCGGAATAGCTCATGCCAAAGCGATTCTCCTTGGGCGTGTAGAAAATGGGCTCGTAGTCATCGGGGGCAAATGTGATGTCTTCATCCTCCTCATCGTCATCATCATCGTCGCCGCCTTCTTCTACAGCCGCGATCTGCGGCTGCTCCAGGCTGGGCAATCCCTCCGCCCCGTAGTGCTCGAGGAGATACTGCTCCCGCTTGTTTCTGGCGCTGGCCTGACGCTTCTCCTTCTTGGTCTGGCGCGGACCCACGCCCTGGCCTGGCTTCCAGCCCATGCTCTTGAGTATCCTCATGGCCACCTTGTCCCGGACTGGACGTAGCAGGTGCTCCAGCACGGGCACACCCGGAATGGGACCCACTTGCTCTGGCTGCATCAGCTTCCTCTTGCGCTGACCCGTGCGCTGCTCCTCCTCGCTTTCCTTGGAGAACTCCTCGCGGGTGCGTATGCCCTGCGGCGCAATGCCGAACTCCCCCAAATCCTCCTTGTCCATGAAGTCCTCGGGCCGCTGTTGGACCCTCGGTGTGGCCTTCTCCGCGCGCGAACTCTTGAAAGTCTGCGGTGTCCAGCCCTCCAGGGAGCCCACCGTGTTCCAAAAGCCGGCACTGAATCCACCCGTGAAGGCGCCATGAAAACGCCGCTTTCCGTTCTCATCCTTTACGATTTGGTCCTCAATGGCCAGCGGTTTTTTGGCCGGCACAACGTCTGGAAGAGATATTGGAAGAGTTATTTTTGATTCCTTGGGTTGCTACTAGAACTTACCCTTCTCCAGCGTCGGCAGAGGTGTGCCAAAGCGGTGCAAGGATTCTTCATCATCCATGATAGCTAATAAATTGCATTGATTTGCGTAAAAATTTGTTTGGGTTAGCTAACAGTGTGTGCACACCACCAGAAAACAGAAAACAGCTGAGAGGGCTGCCAACATTGTTGGCTCTGCGTGAAAAAGAACCTGAACTGTGACTGAATCGCAACATATAAAGTGGAATATTTACTTAAAAATAAACCACGACTGCATCGCAACATTTCAACAGAAATATTTACATAGTTTACTGATAATACATATAAAGAAGAATAATCACATAATATATTTATTCCACATATTGTATTTATATTTATTGAACATTCATTCCTCTGCGATGTAAAATCCACATACGAATTTTGCAAAGCTATAACTCGAGGCCTAAAGGCGTATATATTCTACAGTTTATAAATATCCAACCAATATGTAAACAATTCTATCATCATTATACCAGTCACTACATTAACTCGTGACTTAAAAATAATCACTTTACTGAAACCACGCTCATCTCTGGTTTAGCATACGGTCACACTGAAACACTGCAAATATTTTACAAAAACGAATTTATTGCAATTTTAAGCTACATGCAACAAAATTACACTGCAAATGGTAAGCAGGAGACGATTAACGCCATGGAGAAACATATCAAGGGGCCGGTGGAGCAGTAACCACCCAGCCGGAATCCGCTTGGTGAACCCAAGGCAGTACACACTCCACTCTGTCTGGGCCCCCGTCTGTATGGGTGACTAATGATGTCAACATTTTCTGTTCTGTTTTCTCTCCAAAAGTCGACGGCCATTTTTTGCTAGCTTAGACGTTAGACTTGGAAAGCGGCAAAGGCATTGGAACTGCTCCCAAGTAAGTAGCCAGCTGCAGATTACTGATCCCAGTGCAAAAAAAACCTAATGTGCAAACCTGTTGCAAAACCATCCGAAAGTTTCATTAAACAGCAGCATTCATAACGCTCACACACACACACACGTACGCACGCACCCAATCCTGGCCACCTGACACGCGCAGACACAGGCAGAGAGTCAGGGCAAGATGTCAGAAAAGAACCTCAAGGTGGGCGCCCGGGTCGAACTGACCGGCAAGGATATGTTCGGCACGGTGGCCTACGTTGGCATGACCAGCTTCGCCGTCGGCAAGTGGGTTGGTGTCGTGCTAGACGAGCCGAAGGGCAAGAACAGCGGCTCCATCAAGGGCCAGCAGTACTTCCAGTGCGACGAGAACTGCGGCATGTTTGTGCGGCCCACGCAGTTGCGTTTGGTGTCCCCTGCGCCCGGCGATTCGGGCGGCAAGCGTAGCACTGAAGATGTCAGCGGTGTGACGCCCACGGCCCAACCCACAAAGGCACGGCTGAGCAGCTCACGCACCTCACTCTCATCCAGTCGGCAGTCATTGGTAGGCTCACGCACCCAACTCACCGCGTCCCTGAGCGAGCGGACTGGCTCGAGCAGTAGCATTGGTGGACCCACGCAAGACTCTGGCCCCGCAGAACAGCAAGGACAGGGAGTCGTCCAGCACTTCACTGGCGGAGACAGCGGCAGCGGGGGGTGGCAACGGCTCGCATGCCTCCTCCAAGCGGGCCTCGTTCGTGGAGACGGGCTTCCTGGAGATTCTGAAGCCGCAGTTCACGCCCTCCCAGCCGATGCGTTCGCCATCGTTCACGACCCTGCCCAACCCGGGCGTCGGATCGACGTCAGAGGACAAAGTAGCACTGCTGGAGTCGCAGAAAACGAGTGCGGAACTACAGACGCAGCTGGCCGATCTCACAGAGAAGTTGGAGACGCTCAAGCAGCGCCGCAACGAAGATAAGGAGCGAATGCGCGAGTTCGACAAGATGAAGATCCAGTTCGAGCAGCTGCAGGAGTTCCGCACCAAGATCATGGCCGCCCAGGCCTCGCTGCAGAAGGAGCTGCAGCGGGCCAAGCAGGAGACCAAAGACGCCATCGAGGCCAAGGAGCAGCACGCCCAGGAAATGGCCGAGCTCTCCGACAGCGTCGAGATGATCACCCTGGACAAGGAAATGGCCGAGGAAAAGGCAGACACCCTCCAGCTTGAGCTGGAGTCCTCCAAAGAGCGCATCGAGGAGCTACAGGTGGACCTCGAGCTGCTACGCTCCGAGATGCAAAACAAGGCGGAGAGCACCATCGGTAACATGGCCGCCGATGGCACCACCTCCACCGGCGGCGGCCTCTCCACCTACGAGTTCAAGCAGATGGAGCAGCAGAATATTCGCCTCAAGGATACGCTGGTCCGCCTGAGGGACCTGTCGGCCCACGACAAGCACGACATACAGAAGCTCAGCAAGGAGCTGGAGATGAAGCGCTCGGAGGTGGCCGAACTGGAGCGCACCAAGGAGAAGCTGAGCGGAAAGATCGATGAACTGGAGGCCACAGTCGCCGACTTGCAGGTGATTCCTAAACCCACTACTAAGATCTCATTCTCTGTGGCAATCCTCCACTTAGCACTACCAAGATAAGTCATTGCTTTTCCTGCACCTTATTGGCTTGCCTTTGGCTCTCGTTTTTCCGCTTTTGTGGCTTCGCAATTTTTCCCACTTGCTTTTTTGTTGATTAAGAATTTTCGTGGATAATCTAAAAGAACTTTTGTCCATTACATTTTTACCTTTCTTTTCGCTGGCCCGCATAAAATATTTGCAATAATTCAAGGAGGTAAATTTTGTATACGATTTCTTCTTTAAACATTCCCCTCCTTCAGGCAAATTTTATCCACATTTTCCCCCCTAATAATGCCCCCAATGAACCATTATAAAGTTGCATTAAATATCCGTTCGTGCATTCCTTTAGGAACAAGTCGATGCTGCACTTGGTGCCGAGGAAATGGTGGAGCAGCTGGCAGAGAAGAAAATGGAACTGGAGGACAAGATGAAGCTGCTGGAGGAGGAGATTAGCCAACTGGAGGCCCTGGAGGAGGTGCACGAGCAGCTGGTGGAGAGCAACCATGAGCTGGAGCTAGATTTGCGCGAAGAGCTGGACCTGGCCAATGCTGCCAAGAAGGATGTGCTCAGGGAGCGTGATGCGGCCATTGAGACCATCTACGATCGCGATCAGACCATCACCAAGTTCCGGGAGCTCGTCCAGAAGCTGAACGAGCAGCTGACCGAGCTGCGCGAGCGGACGTCCAGCAATGATGACAAGTCGCTGCAGGATCCCAGTCTCAAGCTGGCCCCCGAGACCATCGACTACAAGCAAATGTTCGCCGAATCCAAGGCCTACACGCGAGCCATCGATGTCCAGCTGCGCCAGATCGAGCTCAGTCAGGCCAACGAGCATGTGCACATGCTGACGGCCTTTATGCCCGAGTCGTTCATGAATCGTGGCGGCGACCACGACTCCATTCTGGTCATCCTGCTCATCTCCCGGATCGTGTTCAAGTGCGGCATTGTGGTGTCGCAGACGCGTGAGCGTTTCCCCGCCGTGGAGGCGGTCACGCGGGAGGCTGTCACCCAGGGCCATGCCGTGCAACAGTACACCTTCAAGTGCCGCCTGATGCACTACATCCACAATCTGCAGTGCGCCCTGCACCAGATCCTGTACGGACTGAACAGCTGCCAGCCGGACACGCTGCTGCGGGCGGGCAGCTCTCTGCCGGAGATGGTGGCGCAGGAGAAGATCGTCGACGGCATCATCGAGCTGCTCAAGTCCAACCAGCTGGACGAGAACAGCACCACGGACAACATCGAGAAGTGTGTGGCCTTCTTCAATGCCATGAACTCGGTGCTGCTGGCCGGCGAGCAGCTGCTCAACGAGATCCAGATGATCCGCGACTGCGTGGCCTCGCTGGGAGCCGCCTGCGAGAGCATTCTCAATGACACGGCCATTGCCAAGGTGATCATCCAGGAGGCGGGCGCCACCAGCGACTCCATGCTGCTGATTCAGTACCTCAACGAGCAGATGGAGAGCATCAGGCAGCAGGTGAAGCTGATCAAGCGACGCCTGCCCAGCGACCAGCACGTGATCAAGTGCGGCCTCTCCCAGCACAAGGTGGATGCGATGCGCGCCCTTGCCCAGAACATCAGCCGCATCATGTCCGCCATGCACCTGGCCACCCGGCAGTCCCTGGCCGCCATTGTGGCCAACATTGAGAGCGACAATGCGGCGGAGCATACGCTGCCACAGGACAAGTACTGGTCCCTTCTCTCCGCCTCCTGCGAGCGCATCTACGAGCAGGAAGATCGCGGACCCACACACAACTTCAAGACGCTGCTGGCGCAGGCCAACACGGATCTGCAGCACATTGCCCAGCACCTGCTGGACAAGGAGTACGAGATTATTACGGCAGCCAACACCAGCGGTAGCGGCAGCGTACCGCAGCGTCCTACTGGGGCCCAGAGCACGCCCATCATCCAGCGAGCGCAGCTGATCAAGAAACAGCTGGAGCAGAAGAACGTGCTGTCTGCCACGTTGGAGAACCGCGAGGCAGACATCAAGAAGCTGAAGCTGACCGTCAAGTTGAAACAGAACGAGCTCAGCGAGATGCAGATACGCAAAGATGTCGCAGAGAAGAAGCTGAGCGTGCTGCAGAACGAGTACGAGCACGCGGTGGACAAGTGGAAGCAGCAGTACGATGAGACGCGCCAGCAACTGTCGCTGAAGGAGAAGGAGTTCGAGGAGACCATGGATCATCTGCAGAGCGACATCGATGCCTTGGAGAGCGAGAAGAGCGACCTGCGGGACAAGCTCAAGCTGAACACCAGCACCGGCAAGAATCAATCTTCCGACTCGCATTCCCAGCACAGTCTGTCCACAGCCGCCTCTGCGGGCCCCGGCAGCGCCAATGTCAGCTACTCCACACCGGCGGGCACCGCTCCAGCGGTCGCCGAGGAGGTGCAGCTGCTCAAGTGCGCCTTCACCAACGAGCGGAACGAGCGTCTGCGCTTGCAAGCACAGGATATGCGTGTGAAACTCTCACAGTTCGAGCCCATCTATGTGCCCCAGCCACAGGATCAGCGCATCAATGCCCTGGAGTCGGAGCTGACGAGGATGAAGCATGCTTGGGTGCTGTCGCTGCTGCAGGTGCGCTCCAAGGATGCCGTCTCCGTTGGCAACCTCAACACGGTGGCCCTTCAGCGTCGCCATCAGCCGTTGCCGCCCAAGGGCGAGATCAGCTCGAAGGCGTCCCAGCTGGCCTCCGACATCCTCACAGAGTACCTGCAGAGGAAGCCCCATCGGGCAGTGAGTGGCCAGTTTGCGTCCTTTCCCACCGTCGATGTGAAGCAAGTTTTGCAGATTTGAGACGCCAAAAGAATGGGTAACGGATGCGGGAACGGTAATGGGGCCAGGGGCAATCGGAATAGAATAGAATTGTATTTGTATTGCTAGCACAAATTTGGTTGGGGGATCCTAACTCAAAGCTTCAGCCCAAGCTTCATTCACCCTTTTGAATTCCCATCCCAACGATAGCCCCAAGACTCCCCTCTCTGCACATGTGATGGCACCCCAAACAAAATGGTTTAAAACGCAACTGAAACTGAAAATTGTAATTCTACTCTTAATAATTTATGTTTTTTGTATAAAGATAAACCAAAAGCTAAAAAAGATTATATACTTTAAATAACAATACCCAAGTGTATAAACCTGTCCGGGTTTATCCCTTAACAAAATATCTGTTTCTGAAAACTAACCTCAGGCGAACTAATACCTGTATTACCTAGGGATTCCACTATGAAGGGAGCTACGAGTACATATGCATGTGAAAGACACAAAGAAAAAAGAGCAGAGATTATTTGCGTGAAAGTGATCAATAAATAATTATATATATTTCAAGTATAAATATATTTTGCTGATTGTTGTATAAACAAATAAATGATGAACGGAGTTTTGGTCGGGAATATTAAGCAATAATAAACGATTCAATAAGAACAAGTATAGCATGAATAAGCTTACAGATTTTAAGGCATATAAAAACTCATGGAAACAAAAAAGTACCAATGTTTAAAACAATATTTTGGACAGTTTTAAGAACCGATGGTGGCAGAAACATTTTGCAATTACATTTTTAGAAATATTGACATAAACTTGGGACAGTCAAGATCCATAGCTTCTAAGAAACGAGATCAGGTTGAAGAGAACCTTTGATATGCGGTGATCCCGGAGTAGTCCGACCTATGTAGGTCATATACGACAAGTTCCTGCGAGCAAAGACTGATTATTTTGATCTACCGATATTTATTTTTCGGCCACTGGCACCCAGCAGATGCACAGCGAAAGCCATACTGTGCGTGCGTGCCCAGACTTGGAACAAAGACTGCAAAAACATAATACATATGTACAGGCTTGTTTTTTTGTTGTCGTTGGACTGCTCCCAAAGATTAAGCCCACCGCTGCTGATGCCCCACAATTGCCCTTCCTTTCCGCATCCGAAATTATCTTCTCATTTCAACGCATTCAAGTAAATTTCCCCCCATTTGATTTAATCACAGTTTTGTCAAGCTGCGTTTAACTTTCTAGATCCATCAAGAAGTCACTGAAGTGACTGTGGTGGGCCACAGCAACAAAAGCAACAGGCAACTTTTTCAATGCCAATTGGTTGCAGCAACAACAGCTGCAATGGCAAGCAACTATTACATTAGACCGACCATAAACCATGATGGCCAAAACGGCCCCCCCTCCGGAGACAAGCATGGGGTTGCTGGTGGAAATTTTCAATTGAAAATAATTTTTGCTGCTTGTCTGACCCGACATTGGCGCTTTATTTGACCCCATTCTGCTACTTCTGGAACTGCACTTCCCCTGGAACGATCCGGCAAATAGAGTTTAGATCCCATACGACTGCTTCAGGGTTCTCGAACTCCACTTTATAGAGCAGTTTTTGATGTGTGTCGCCTTGGTTCCGGAATCCAGAGCGCGTTTACAGCCATTCTTCTCACGCCCAGCTCTGGGCCCCAGTGGCTGACCTTTTTACGGTTGTTTTGTTCGTTTTAGGTCTGTTTTCGTTTATGGGTCCCCGGTGTGGGTTTTGTAATACGGTTACAGTTCATTTTTTTAATTTCAGTTTTGGGTTAAGAGCGAAGAGAGAGAGAGAGAGACAGAAAGCGAGAGAGGCATTCATTGACTTCCCGCTCTGCTTGCAGCGGCCGCCAAAGTGACAGATCAGATCCTGACACACATATCCAATAACCAAAGCCACTGACCATAGGGTTCTCCAGTTCCTGCACTCTAGCACTCGTTTCGACAACAATTGTCAGAAACGAACTCGGCCCAGAAACTGCTATGCTACCACTATGTAAGGCCCCAGCTTGTTGACTCATGTAGAGCGCTACAAACAACATAATTATTGTACATATTATGAGCCAGATGTGAGTGTATATGGGAGGTGTTTGCAGCCAACACACTGAAACTGCAATGCCCTAAGCTCTTTGTTAATTTCCAAAGCATGTAAAATTTATGCTATCCAAACTAGTTTGAAATACAATTTATATAAATATGTTCCTTGGGTTCGTGCATAAGTATTGCGAGTAGAAATTCTCTCCTTGATGAAGATCATCCATCCAGTTGCTGGTTCTTATACTAAACAGAAAATACCTTGAGCGTATTGACAGTTGTCTGTTCTTTAAAAAGCAACTCACAAAAAACCAGAACACCAACCTCCTAGCATAGTCAATCAACTTCCATCAGAGATGGAGCAAAAAAAAATAAAACAGAAATAATTAAAGAAAAAACTGCGATACAATGCGGAGCAAGACCGAAACCAGTTTAGGTGGAGTATGCATGGTTCCCCCCCAAGATGGATGGATGGATGGATGGATGGACGGTTGTATGGAAGCGGCCCCCAGTAAGAGCGAGAGTGTAAGACAATAAAGCAGCTCAAGAACACTCGATTGCAAGTGTATACCAAAGAGTGGAAACTGGAAACTGGAGATGCTAGAATTCCATGCGGATGCCCCACAAATGATCAAGGAAGACCCCGCGGAACCCGTCCTTCCTTCCTCATTATTAGTGACCATTAAGAAACAAAAGCCTAAAGAGATTGATCTTCAGCGGAAGCACGGAAGTTTCGCTCTTTGGCGAAGGAAACACCCAGAAACACAAGCCAGAAAAAGTTAGTTACGCCTGGTTAGGCCACCATCTGAAAGCTCAATTTGGTAAATGGCCAAACAGTAGCCACTAGACAGCGACGTACATAAACTAGAGACCACGCAACATCGGCATTACGGGAAGGTGGGCCTGGGCCTCTTCAATGCAGCTTGGGGCCGGAGCTGTAGCTGTAGCTGAAGCTGAAGCTTGAGATGGCCACGAAGAACAATGGGGCCAAAAGGGGTGCTCGCTCATCTTCACTTTGGCCCGGTCGGTCGGTCGGGCCACTTGAGGCGCCCATTGTGCATGTTATTCTGTGAGGGAGAGTGGGGGCGAGTGCAAGGGGTAGCCTATGGGGTCTGGCTATGTTTTGGCTTAGTATCACGCACTAGACCCGTCCGTCTGTGTCTATGTCTGTCTATTTCCTTTCCTTCCATACCGGTCGCTCGCTGTCATCTTCTTTGCATTGTTATTGCGGTTTCTTGGGTGCCCATTTGTATACACTTCCGAAGAGAACCATAATTTTTATGAGCACGATGAGCAGTTACCATCTACGAAATCAAAAATATGCTGAAGTTTCCTTTGTTTTGCTAATCGAGCATCCAAGATCATAATACTTTATCGCATTACTTACATAGGAACGATCGCTCCAAAGATCATTTAACCCAACCCAGTCAAGTCTTCTAAAATCAAAGTTAATTCTTCAATAAATAGCAGACAGAAATAGAAGATCGTGCAAGGTGTATAACCATCTTCGGCCCCTAAATTTAGACTTCCTTTCTTGTGGTTGTTTGTTTGAGTTCTTGTTGCTTTGCCGTTGTATGTAAATTTTTCATTTAAATATGTACACATGTAGATATGTGCATGCATACATACTCGCATGCACATCGTGGTTTTTGGAGGTCCGCCTCCCCCTACACCCATTCTTAGGGCCACCCATGCGAAGCTACGCTCGGTTCGGCTTCATTGTTGCTCACTTGGCCGCTTTCGTAAGTCAGTCTCAATGAAAATCCAACGTCAAAGAGCATGAGCTTATAAACAAAGCGAATGTGTGTCGGCTAAGAGCGAATTTGAAAGAGAGTTAAGATATTGTGCTCTTAAAAGTTAAAACAGTTCAAAGAGACAGACAGGCAGAGAGAGCACAGGTAAAACTCTACAGAGTTGTCGGGTGCCTGCAATATACGCCAGTAAAAATTATATACATACTAAATATAAGTCTCTTTGGAAACTTGTTCATATTTTAGTACGACTCTATTTAATTTTTGAATTAATCTCATTTATTAAAGATTTAGTCTTAGAAATTACAGCTAAAATATAAATAAGTAAAATGCAGCTAAGCATTGCTAAAATTAAATGAAATCGTATTTCTAACAGAATATCAACAATAACAATTCAAAATAAAACAATACCTAGATAACGAATAAATTATCTCTTATCTGCTAGATTGCACATTTAGGACCAACCGCTTATCGCAGTTACCTTGTAACCAATAATACACTCGTAGTTACTTCATTATACGAATCTAATATCATGTGCCATGCACTCGACAGCTCTAAGCCGGAACTAGCTACGGGCTCTCTCTCTGCCTCTGCAAACTTAAGAGAGTCTCCGGCGAAGTTGCATGACATAACTATTGTAGGTACGGGACAACACAGGGAGTGTTCTTTTTTCGAGCTACCAAATTTTAACAGTAATTGTGGAAAGCCAATCAGTCTTTGAATAAGTTTTTTCAAACTTAGTTTAGACATTTCAACGGCACAGACTAAAGCCATGCATTCAATGACGCAAAGAACGAGAGAGCGAACAGCAGAGAGGACAACTTAGGCAAGCGAAGAGCGAGAAAAACGCACTTACTGTAGTTATACCATGCGTTGTTGGTTGTTGTTGCCAAGCTACGAAGTTTACCCCAACGAAGGTGCTTCGCTGTCGCTGTCGCTCGTCGCTTGGTTACTCATTTGTTTTGCCAATTTTCGTAGCATTCTGGCCAACAGCGGAGCAACGCGCGATTCAGTTAAAACCGAACTTTCGCGCCAGTCAGTCGTTACCAGCACGCCCACGCGTCGTTCGTTGTCCAACAAAGTCGACACCAGGCATTGTGCTTGGCTAAAGAAAGCCACAAAAATCGTAACCAGAGAACCGAACCGAAACGGAGCGGAGCGGAGCGAAGCAAAGCGAGCCAAACCGAGAGCTGAGCTGGGCCTCACGAAGCGCGCGTTACACGGTATCGGGCAACGGAGAATCGGAAGTTGTTCTGTTTTGCAGTAGAGCGTTCGTCGTGACCGAGGTTTCTGCCCCCTACCTACCAAACATATTTACCCATCTACTGTATGTACATATGTACATATATAGTAGAAAAAAAAACCCAAACTGAATTTAATTTGCGAAAGTGGAAACTATCTCTCGAATACTTTCCGTTTTGCGAGAATTAATTAGAGTAAATCCCATGCAAAGCGCGCGTTTATTTTGTTGTTTTGTCAATAATATGCCAAAGTCGGACCAAAATCTGACATATATTACGGAAATGCACACAAAAAACGGTTGTTGTTGTGTCTGTGTGTATTTGTGAACTGTGTGCTTGTGTTGCTAACCAAAAACAAACAAAAAATAAACGAAAATGAAAACCTAAACTACAACTGCAACAGCTAATATACACAATATATACATATGTATAAATGTTGGCCAAAATCGTAGCTTTAGGCGTGCTATATATTTGGCTTAAACAACAAAGTGGCTGTTGCTGTGTTGCTGCCAACTGCACCAGACCGTGAAGTGCTTGCCAAATGAATTT